AGAAAGGTAGGTAGATAGATAGCTAGCTAGATAGATAGATAGATAGATGGACGGATGTATAGATAGAATGATAGACAGAACGATAGAACGATAGATCGAACGATAGACAGAAAGATAGAACAATAGACAGACAGACAGACGGACAGATAGATAGAACGATAGATAGATGGATAGATAGAAAGATAGATAGATGGATGGATAGATAGACAAAAATATAGACAGAATGAAAGACAGACAGATAGGCAGAAAGGTAGGTAGGTAGGCAGGTAGACAGACAGACAGACAGACAGATAGATAGATAGATAGATAGATAGATAGATAGATAGATAGATAGATAGATAGATAGAATGACAGAACGATAGATAGAAAGAACGATAGATAGATAGATAGACAGACAGACAGACAGAGAGACAAACGGATGGATAGATAGAACGATAGAATGATAGAACGATAGATAGATAGACGGGCAGACGGACGGAAGGATGTATAGATAGAATGATAGACAGAATGACAGAATGATAGATAGATAGATAGATAGATAGATAGATAGATAGATAGATAGACAGACAGACAGACAGACAGACAGACGGACGGATAGATAGAACGATAGATAGATAGAAAGATAGATAGATGAATGGATAGATAGATAGACAGAATGGTATATGGGTAGATAGACAGAAATATAGACAGAATGAAAGACAGACAGATAGGCAGAAAGGTAGGTAGACAGACAGACAGACAGACAGACAGACAGATAGATAGATAGATAGATAGAATGACAGAACGATAGATAGATAGATAGACAGACAGACAGACAGAAAGACAGACGGATGGATAGATAGAACGATAGAATGATAGACAGATAGAACGATAGATAGATAGACAGGCAGACGGACGGAAGGATGTATAGGTAGAATGATAGACAGAACGATAGATAGATAGATAGATAGATAGATAGATAGATAGATAGATAGATAGAACGATAGACAGAACGATAGATACATAGACAGACAGACAGACAGACAGACGGACGGATAGATAGAACGATAGATAGATAGAAAGATAGATAGATGGATGGATAGATAGACAGAATGGTCGATGGGTAGATAGACAGAATGAAAGACAGACAGATAGGCAGAAAGGTAGATAAGATGATAGATAGATAGATAGATAGATAGATAGATAGATAGATAGATAGATAGATAGAACATAACCAGACAGACAGACAGATAGATGACAGACAGATAGATGATAGATAGATAGGTAGATAGATGATAGATAGATAGATAGATAGATAGATAGATAGATAGATAGGTAGATAGAGAGATAGATAGATAGATAGATAGATAGATAGATAGATAGATAGATAGATAGATAGAATGGTAGATGGGTAGATAGACAGAAATATAGACAGAATGAAAGACAGACAGATAGGCAGAAAAAATTAAAAATAAAATAATGTGCATTTTCATCAACTAGTAGTTTATCTATTTTTGGTCATAAGTAAGCATGATAAACAGCAGCTAATATTCACAGCCTCATTAGCACAATGTGTGGGAATGTTATGTGTGAGCAATTGTAATGTGTGAGAAGTTAGAATAAAATGTGTCAAAATGCTACAGTTTAAAATGTGTGCAAGTTCCTCAAAAAAATTCCATTGCGTAGATACCAGCAAATAAGATGCAAAAAAAAATTAAGACTAAATGACACACCAGTGTAAAAAGGAACATGTAGAGGAAGAGATGGGTCTGAAAAAAACTCCCTGTGCAGAACTTATGCTTATCGCGCAAACCGGCCCACTTTATATTAAGTGGCCTTAACTACTATGTACTTACATCAAAAATGATGAGATACGGGTAAGGTTAGGGACAGGTTTGGTGGTATAGGTAGGTTTAAGGGTGGGTTAAGGTGTAAGGGATGGGTCAACTGTGTAATTATAAATGTAATTACAGAAATTAATTACAGATGTAATTACATGCAGGCATTTTAAAAATATAAGTACAATGTAAAAACATGTATGTACACAATAAGTGCATTGTACCAAATTATTAATTTAAATGTA